ATAGTTATTTGCAAAATTTTATTAATCAATTAAATTAAATAAAATTAGTATTTTTAAAGATAATATTTTACAATTTTAATAGTTCATGGATTGAGTTTTTATGTGATAAAAAGGAGATGTATTGGCATCAAACTAAAATAGTTAAAGGATTCAGACGGAAACGAAACGATACATGGAAATTAGAGTAGAATAGTAAAACAGGCTGCTTGAGTCTACATTAACTGACGGTTCAATTCAACAAAATGGACCCAATGTTTCTACAGACTACTAGTAATAATCGGATCTAATTAGAAGTCCATGCAAACAAAGGCATCATTCAATCAAATAATATCAGAGCTGGGAAACACAATGATGGCATTCTTTACTCTCTAAAGTTTTCAATGATTCTTGGTAGAGATCTTATAAAGGGGATATTGAAGAGTAGAATCGAGTTCGGGAAATCAAAGATAGAATAGAAGGTTTCAGAATAAAGAGAAATAGAGGGAAATTGAAGAAGAAAAGAGGATGAGGTTATTGACGCAAAGATAAAGAATCTAGAGAGGGTATTCGTATGCAGGGTTTTTGAATTTCTGAAACAAAGGAAAGTCAAGGAGAGACAAAAGCTGGGTTTACTGAACACTAAACGACGCCATTTTAGTCATCCCGTCCGCCCAAAAATTTGCAATAGCAGCTGCAAACCAGTTTTTCGTTGAGATAATACATAAAAGGTTAAACCCTTATTTTGGTTCCTGAACTATTGTACGGACCTCCGATTTGGTCCCTGAACTAAAGAAATCCCTAATTTGGTCCTTGAACTATTGTACGGACCCTGAGTTGGTTCCTAAATTATTGTACGGACTCCCAAGTTAGTCCCTAAACTATTGTACGGATGCTTAATTTGGTCCTTATTGTTTACCAATTTAACTCCAACTTGGTCCTTTTGTTAAATAATAGCTCAGGGACCAAATTGGGGTGAAATTGTAAACAGTAAGGACCAAATTGGGAGTCTGTACAATAGTTCAAGGACCAACTTAGGCCAAATTATAAACAGTGGGGACCAAATCGGGGGTCCGTACAATAATTTAAGGACCAAATCAGGGATTTCTTTAGTTCAAGGACCAACTCGGGGGTCCGTACAATAGTTCAGGGACCAAAATGGGGATTTAACCTACATAAAACATGCATCCACAATTACAATATGGAAACTCGGAATATTTTTAGGGCCCAACAAGGCAGCAACCATTTGAAACAGAGCAGCAAGTTCATTGCTATACATAATTCTTGCCACAGAACAGAGAAATATTGATACCAAGAACAAATCCAATTCCATAGATAAATGAATACATCAATGTCAGCAACCTTTTAGTGAGTTTTAGTTCCCTACGTTACTCCCTGCATCTCCTACTAATTCCGCAAACCGCTCAGACCCTATATCCAATCCATGCTCATCCAACATCACAACCTATAAACACAAGATCCCAAAACAAGGATAAATCCCAACAAGAACTGTTCTCCAAACCTCTATAAACCAAATCAATAATGATACTAATAAAAAGAAAAGTAAAAGTAAAACCATGGAGGGCTTTCCAGACGAGTACCCAAACATCAGACCTGACATGGTTCATGACAGCCATATCTTCATCATCAGCCTGGGCCTTCACATCTCTACATAAACAAAACCAGCATAAACTCATCTAAATTAAGTTAGAAACTATAAAAATAGACTAATGGCATAAAATTACAGAAAAGGGGAATGAAAGCACCGTGAATTTTTGGGGTTAAGAGTGAATTAGAACATCATCAACAGGACAGTAGTTTCTGAGCTTATCAATATACCCATCTACCAGCAACTGGACACCTTGGGACCTCTTCTTCCCCACCCTTATGATCCGAATTGGCAAAAATTCAGCTAAAAAACATGGAAGGATGCATGGACGGATGGGTTACCACAGATTGACCAACGAATTTGCATTGTTTGACTGAAAATTTCAAGCAAAATAAGATCAAGATCAATGAAATGTTGTAGAAAATGAAGTAGGATTGATTGTTTAAATTCTAGCAGAAGGAACCTGAAGGAATACTTGAGTTGGTCCAGCGAGGAGTAGCACAAACGCAGAAGGAAGTTGCCATGAGAAACGAAATGGGTTTTGTTTGTTGGATGGATGAGTTCATTTCCTTGGCAAAAGAGGGATGATGGAAAACAACGCCGTGTAATTAAATAAAAAGGAGGTAAATGGAAATCTTATTATCAACAGAGGTTTTTTTTTAAGTGTTTTGCATATTGTTTTTTTCTAGAGAATTTATTTAAAAATTTATATTTTAA